ACTGCCACTTCTTAACAGACTTTATATATTATTACATACATATACACTGCATAATCACTAATTACTATTATGTAATTACTATTATACTATTATTATATATATAGCAGTTGTAGTATTAGAACAGTAGATTATTGAAGTGTGTTTGCATATGTGTTGTTAATAATAAAATTGTGTTTCTGCAGAGAGTCCTAAACCTGTGGTGACCATAAACCCTGATAAACATGTGTTCAGAGGAGAGACTGTGACTCTCAGATGTGAAATACAGGGAGGAGGAGACACTGAGTGGACATACAGCTGGAATAAGAAAGATAACACATTCTACCGCACAACACAGGAGTTCAGCTTCAGATCAGTTAGAAATGATAACAGTGGTAAATACACCTGCAGAGGGAATAGAAGCAGTGACTCTCAGAGATCAGAGATCAGTGATGCTGTTACACTCACTGTATCAGGTGAGTGTGTGAGTTTGTTTTATCTTATCATTAATTATATGTAACAAGACTACCACACTGTATGTATTTATTTACATTTGTTGTCCATCAGATGCAGCAGAGGCAGTAGTGAGTGTGTCTCCACTGCGCTGGCTGACTGAAGGAGACTCAGTGACTCTAAGCTGTGAGGTTAAACACTCCTCTACAGGCTGGACATTCAGCTGGTACACAGAGGTTCTCTCCAGAGACAGTCAGGGTTCCCTCAGGTACAGTACAGAGCTCCTCTCAGACAGCAGCAGAGGATCTGGAGGCTCCTACACTCTCAGTCCTGTTACTGTGAATCACACAGGAGTTTATATGTGCAGAGCAGAGAGAGGAGAAAAAGTCTTTCACACTCGGTTCAGCAATCTACAGCCACTGTGGATCACTGGTGAGGAAATAAATCAACAATAGTGTTGAGTTGGAGTGTAGCAAATGTACATTTATTAATATGAAGTGTTGTATCTGTGCTAATGTGTTGTGTAATAACTGTTTATATTGAAACTCCTTAGTGAGGAATGTGAAAAGCAACTGAATAATCACCTGATAGTAGATTTTTATTCAGATATCATTGTCTAATCAGAGCAAGTATTAGTCCTGTGGTAATTTTAATGTTACACATGTTTACTAAACTGTACACTGAAATTAACATCATAATAAAATCTAAATATATTTAAATGTTCAGAATAAGATCTGAATTATAATGTGTGTGTTTCAGGTGAATCTCCTCCAGTGTCTCTGATCATCAATCCCAGCAGAACTCAACACTTTACTGCTGACTCTCTCTCACTGAGCTGTGAGGACCAGAGTGACTCTACTGGATGGACAGTGAGAGGATACACACACAGTGAGACAGTGTCTGATTGTTCATCAGTTTCAGGATCTACATGTAACATCAGCTCCCTCTCTACATCACACACTGGAGTTTACTGGTGTCAGTCTGAATCTGGAGGACGCAGTAATCCTGTCAACATCACAGTGCACAGTGAGTCTTCAATGTTCTCATCAGTAATAGATGTACAATATACAGTAATAAAGATAACACTTTTATAATCTACTGAATTGTTGAAAATAAATTATAAGATTGTTATAAAGAAACTAAGTGCAGTTTCTAGGGTGACACAGATTTGATGTTTTTATTCAGTCGATTCTAACAAAAGACCAACAGATAGCGCTGTGTTCAGGGCTGCAGAGATCTGAGACACAGAGGTTTATACACACATCTGTACACAAAGATCAGACTCAGAGAATAAAGAAGAGAAGAAAAGGCATACAGAGTGATTAGACTTTTTGGATGTCAGTATCACCTTTCTCACTAACATAAAGAAAAAGGTAGAAAGAGTTGAGCAGAACACAGAGAGGGGGGGGGGGGGGGATATAAAGACATTAGACTTACTTAAATAAAATTACCGGTATTATCCCCATGTAGAAGTTAGACTGCAGAAGGTAAACCTAAAAAAGCTTCTCACAATGTTTTAACAATAAGAATATAAACAGAAATAAGAAATAAGAATAACTCATGAAGACTAGTTTAGTTTCAGGATGTTAAGAATATTACAGTGAAAGCTGCTTTCACATCTGAATGTTACTGATAAAACGTTGATTATTTTCCAGTAACAGCACGTCATGAAGTGTTTGGTTTCTCTTATACCACAGAAATGTCCAAATGATTACATTAAAACATTTATTAATGAAAGACACTTACTTAACCATTACCATAACCATCTTTATTTACATTTAAATCCAAGACACAAGTTATTCCCTGTTCTCATTACAGTGTCCCTGTGTGCCTCCTTATAGAAAACTTCACTACATCAAAGTTTAATGAACATATTTTTTTAATTAAAAAGATTAGTTTTATCTTTAGACTATGTGGAGTGTTTATCGATATTATCTTACACAATATTATAATGATTATTTTACTCCTTATCTGGTCGGTCACATGCAGAGGCTCCAATGTCAGTGCTCAGACTGATCAGTAGTCTAGTGACGGTCTCTGTGTATCTGCTGCTGACCATCATTCTGGCAGTAAAGTGTTACAGAGCTCGAGGTAAGAACATTTTCAATCAGGTACATCATTCAGAAATAGTGCAGAAGGATATTGAAGGATTTTGTAAACTCCATTACTCTGCCATGGAAATGTGTATTATGTAATGAAGCTATTTTTGTATGATTTAGAAAGCAGGATGTTGATATGGCTTTAGGCAACCATTAAAAATAGGATGTTATAATTAAAGGAGAGTCACTGATCAACATTATTAATATAATTATTGTTTATTTTCAAACACAGCATTCTCTTAGTACATTCCTAAAAAAAGTAAAATATTCATCCTCAGGAATTGTGCTTAGAATAATATCAAATGCCATTTGAGGACTTTTATTTCAGATATACCTGTAATAAAATTTATTTGAACTCTTTTTTATTTCTTTATTCGACAGTTCAGACTGAGGAAGAGAACATGCAGAACGCTGTTATAGAGGAGTGAACAATGTTCATCTATATAAAAAAGCCCAACGTTTTGGGATTGTGAAATAATATTGATTTGTCACTTTATTAATAATTTACTGTACACATTTGTTTTTCTAAAGTCTACACACCTCCTCATAGGGTCACGGTAAACATGTTTGTTTGTGTTCTAATAAAAAGTTATTAAAAAGACTTTATCTTTGTCTTTCAGTTGTGTGTGTCTTATTGTGATCTATCTATACACACACGGATATATATATATATGTGTGTGTGTGTGTGTGTGTGTGTGTGTGTGTGTGTGTGTGTGTGTGTGTGTGTGTGTGTGTGTATACAGTGCCTTGCGAAAGTATTCGGCCCCCTTGAACTTTTTAACCTTTTGCCACATTTCAGGCTTCAAACATAAAGATATAAAATTTAAATTTTTTGTGAAGAATCGACAACAAGTGGGACACAATTGTGACATGGAACAAAATCTATTGGATATTTTAAACTTTTTTAGCAAATAAATAACTGAAAAGTGGTGAAAAAATTTTATATCTTTATGTTTGAAGCCTGAAATGTGGCAAAAGGTTGAAAAGTTCAAGGGGGCCGAATACTTTTGCAAGGCACTGTATATGTATAATATAGAGTACTGTGCAAAAGTCTTAGCCACATGCAAAGAAATGCTGTAGAGGAAATATGCCTTCAAAAATAATTAAATTAAATGTTTATCAATTAAAAAAAATATATAAAGAGCAGTAAACAGTAATAAATAAAACAACGCCAATATTTGGTGTGACAAAAAAAAACCCAAAGGTAGTTTCAGGTAGATTTATTGTAGTTTTATAAGGAAATGAGCTGTAAGTTTTATTGAGCATCCAGCAGCCTTCAATGTAGTGTTTTTCTGAAAAGTGGTCTCTTACATAATATGCTGCTTTCTTTATTGACTTTCTATACTGAAATTTATTGACACAGTTCTCTATAAATACACACCACCGGTCAAAAGTGTGGAGACACTCGACTGAAATGTTTCTCATCATCTTAAAGACCATTTGATTTGAAGGTGTATTATTAAACGTTTGAAATCTGTGTTGTAGACAAAAATGTAATCGTGCCAACATATTAATTTCTTTCATTAGAAAACTAACACCCATCCATCTTCTACCGCTTCCTCCTTCTTCAGGGTCACGGGGAACCTGGAGCCTATCCCAGGGAGCATCGGGCACAAGGCGGGGTACACCCTGGACAGGGTACCAGTAAAAATTAACATTTTATTTACAAAAAAATTTACTTTTACTCGGCGTGAAATATTCTGAAAGGCAGCCGATAAGTGTCCGGTGTCGGTGTGAACTCCTTTAATACTGTTTAAAAAGCATCTCAGTAAATAAAAATAAATAAATTAGGGGTCTGTCTAGAATAATGAACGTGTCTCAACTTTTGACTGGTATATATATATACACACATGCATGTAGAACCCCTGATGAAAAATTACATTGAAATTTTCAAAATGTAAAAATTGGACATGAATTAGCCGCAATAATAATGTGAGTGGAAACTACAACAACAACAATAATAGCGCACGGTGGCTTAGTGGTTAGCATGTTCGCCTCACACCTGCAGGGTCCGGGGTCCCCAGTCCAAAGACATGAATGGTAGGCTGATTGGTGTGTCTGAAGTGTATGAATGTGTGTGTGAGTGTATATGTGATTGTGCCCTGCAATGGACTGGTACCCTGTCCAGGGTGTACCCCGTCTTGTGCCCCATGCTCCCTGGGATAGGCTCCAGGTTCCCGTGACCCTGAAGAAGGAGGAAGCGGTAGAAGATGGATAATAATAATAAAATCTTGATTTATATAACATCATATAAAAGTAGTTCAAAATGCTTTACATAGTGACATTTTATATAAAACTGTAAAAATAGATGTCAGTTAAAAAAGAAATAAAAGCATTCAATAAAAGTAGAGTTGAAATAAAACATTAGCTGATTAATTATAAAACTCAATCATACTTAATTTTCCTCTTTAACGAATCAGACACGTCTGAAAGACATGTGAACTGTTTACAGAAGATACTCAGTCTTATGATTCTGTGGTGGCTCATTGGTTTAAGGTGTTGGACTACTGCTCAGAAGATCATGAATTCAAACCCCACCACCAAATTTCCACTGGTGGGCCCTTGAGCTAGGCCCTTATCTCTCAATGTTCATATGAAAAAAATGTAAGCAGCTCTGGATAAGAACATAAATGCTTCTTTTGGTGCTGCTGAGAATATCTAGCAGTAGAGCATTTTGCGAGTGTCCACTCTACACAGTTTAAAGGACACTGTCACATGCAAATAAATTATTTTATTGTGTCCATCTGTATCCATACAGATTTGTGTCTCCTACCATCAAGTACAAATAATAAAAGGGCATTTCAGATTTGTGTGAAGACATTCTGCCCATCTCTCTCTCTCTCTCTCTCTCTCTTCTCTCTCTGCATATCTCTTATGAGATAAATAAATGCTAGGGCTTGAGAATCTGTATTACGGCTTTATCCACCAAGTGCCAAGTGAGTAGCCCTGGAACTAACCCAAGATTACGTGAAAATAAAACATCCACTACATGTGACATCTCTAAATACCACATATGAAGTTCATGAGATGCTTCTGTAAGGGAAGGAAACACATTAGTAAGAAATCAATCCTGAATTTCAAACAGAAGAATAAGTGTTTTTTTTATTGAAGTTAAGTGTTTTTTAATGAATTCTTAGAGCAGGTACAGGCGTAGAATAAACCTCTATAATAAAAGTAAGTGTGTGTGTGTGTGTGTGTGTGTGTGTGTGTGTGTGTTGTCTCAGGATAATTCTCACACAGGATCTGAAGATGAATGAATACGAATGAATATACTGCACGTTCCGTTGCCTAGTTGTGCTATTAATGTGTATAGCCAAAAGGTGTCGCTGTTGAGTGGCGTTTCAAAGAACTGAAACGGTTTTCCGAGAGAGTCGGTTCAAATGTGTCGATTTCTCTGGAAAGATTCATTTCTGCCATTATAAGTTTTTAAGGGGTTTAAATTTAGGCTACTTTATGCGCTAAATGTTAAACTGCAACCCTGTGAAAAATGTCACATAGTTTTCTCAAAAAGCAGTGATTAAAGAATTTTAAATTCTTTATTATTTTAACCGCCCGCGGTAGAAAATGATTGTGAACATATACGTGGTTTTACGGTAATCACCATTCTCCAAGTCAGAGCGCACTGTTTATTTATTTATTTTATTCTTGCTTTTTTTTTCCTTCCGTCACAGTAAACTGGTTTCAAATTAAATAACAATAAAGGTTAGCTCTTACCATTAATAAATCCTTTATTTAATCTAGTCATTACAAAATATACAGCTAAGTTTAATGAATATTGTTTTGTACATTATATTTACATAAACAAAGATTGTTTTCGAGGAAAAGGGAAAAAATACAAAAGGAAAATTCAATACAATGAAAAAGATGTAACGTAAAATAAGAGATAAAGTCTACATGTTAGACTCAACACGAAGAGACGCTTAAGTGTTTACCGTAAAATCCCGTATAGACTCGCAGGCCAGTTTCTACAGCCGTTAGAAGGAACACGAGTTACTAACCTCAGTTTGTACACCATGAAAAGAAAAGAAAAACATGCATGCAAATGACATACTAGTCTATTAATGTTTGCAAAAACGCTTTCATACTAATACGCATTTCAAATCAGTACATATATATATATATATATGTTGGTATACTATTTAGTAGTAAAGTAGGATGCAGGAACTTTGGCTTGTAGTAATGATTTGACTGCGCATGCGCACAGAGTTAGGGCGGTTCTGACAGCAGGGCTTCACGTTGGTAGTGTGGAAATTTCTGAGTCCGGATGGGACTATAAAACCTAAAACTCTTTATTACTAACGCTTTTGTTCAAGGAGGTGCAGCAGAGAGGCTTGGGTAAGTTTGGGTATCTAATTTAGTTGAATTTTTTAACTTCCTGAGTTGCTAGATTTTTTTTCTTTTTCTTTCTTTCTTTCTTTTTTCTTCTTCAATCCAGTGTTGACTCAAAACTTTTTAGCCTGAGGAATGCCTTTATTTATTTGTTGCATGGACATCTTGCTGTTTTGATAATGTCATTTTAGCCACTTGTGGCAGCTGAGATTATTTGCAGGACAGTCTGTCTACAACAAACAAACAAACAAACACAAACAAACAACACATCCAGATTAGGTTTCTGTGCTCAGTTTGATGAACAGCCCCTTATTAGGTTCATCAGGGAATATTATTAAGGAAGTGGAAACATTTTATCCTGACACAAGCCCTTAAAATAGCAGTCATGTTTCTTATCTCTTCTGCACACTCCTGACTGCCTTTGAAACAAGAACATTCAGACATACCCGTGTTACAGTAAATGTGTCATTATTCACACGCTCACCCTCCGTTACTGTGTTTATGGTGTTACTATATGATCTTCGAGAACATCTAGTGAGCATTTTGGACCACATTTCATTTGTTTACTTCTCACCACCTCAACAGGAAGTGTGGGTTTTTACCAAAGTGTGTTGCTGCTTTTGGCACAAGCAGCTGCTCAGCTTTACTCTGTAGAGATGCAGAGCAGTTATTTGAGCACACGTTAACAGCTTTTGATACATTTCTCAGTAACGGTTGATGACTGACCCGATACTGCTAAAGTTAAAAGCTGCAGGAGTTTGTTTTTAAGGCATGTGAAGCATTATGGGCTTGATGCCAGTATCAGGGGCGCCCCCTTTTAATGGCAGATTTATACACCGAGACCTTCACCCTGGATTATTTTTATTCTCTAGGGCAAGGGTATTCAACTAAAATTTGTAAAGATCCAGCTACACGAGATGTCTCTCTTACTGAGGTCTGGATAAACAACTTACCATTGCTGAGTAGTGACACCAGTAACAGTGTAATGCCTTAATGATTGTTGCTACACTACAAAATAGTGGACAATTTTTTTTACAGCCCATGTTCTGTGTATTTATTGTTCTGTAAACAATACACTCATCTCAACACTGTTGTGTAGTGCACTTAATGTAGACTTGCGTACTGAGCTGTGTTGCACCGTGGTCTTGGAGAAATGAAAGTTTTTCCTAACAAGATCTATACAAATTATATAGAGGAATGACAATAAAAAAACAAACAAAAAAAACTACTTGACTTAATTTTAGATGGTTTTAAGGTAGTTTTGTTTTGCACTGGAGCTCCACGTTCCCACTTTTGACTAGAGCCATGGGCGCTGAACACAGAGGACACCTGAGACCCGAGATAAAAAAGAAACGCATACTTTTGTCCATTCGTCTTTACACACTCAGTCAATCTCTTTTAATAAGTCATGTCATGAGTTTGCTGATTTAGACAGGGAGGGTAAATAAAAGAGAAATTCCTTGGAAGTGTGTGTGCGCGCGATGACCTTTGGTGGACTGGTGTCCCATTCAGGGTGTATTCCCACCTCATTCTCAGTGTTCCTGGGATTCCTGATCCTCATAAGATTGAATGAAAGAATGAATATAATTGCTTATGATCCAACCTAAGACCTGGGATTGATGCCAATTCATAAAGAGTTCACTCTTTTGTCTAAATAAAGAATCTTGTCTAGACTGTCAGCCACTATTACACTGAAGAAAAAAAAAAAAACAGAAGTTCATTTGATCAGTGTGATTTCCTGGAGTTTGTGAATGTTCGTATGAGAAGTGGTGAAGGTTTCGTCTTTTCTTCTTTGGATTACAAATGCAGACAAGCCTGCTGTAACATTTTCGCTTGAAGTCTCAGCTTCATAGAGTCCACACCCAGAAGTAAACTTTACTTGCATATCTGGAATCTAGGAAATACGATACGATCGTTCTAATGCAGTGATCTGTATGTGTTGTGCATGCGAATTTGTTTGCATGTGCACACGTGCATATGTGTAGTGCGGGTGTTTAATTTTGGATCGGCAGTTGTTATAGGCTGAAAACAGTTATGCAAGCCGAGACATGAGCTGGTGTACGGGTGTCCGTCTATTTTATAATTAGTCAGTATCTAATGTTGCATTGTTTATCATGTCTACTGATGCATCGCTTTTTAAGTAGATTGTAAATTAAAGGCACAGCTGTCTGGATAGATCATAAACAAGCTATTATCAGGCCTATAGACTGACTGTTTTAGTGGATGGCTGAATCATTTAGCCAGCTACACATGTTGCTTATTAGCCATGCATCTGTGATTAGTTCTTGCTTTTTCAGCTCTTGTATGTACCTGTACTGCTCTCCGTGTGTGTGTGCATGTTTGTTTTTGTGAATATATATATATCAGAGGTTGTGCAATGTGTATGAAATCACTCTAATATGGGCGGCTGTGGATCAGGTGGTTGAACTGTTTGCCCACTAATCATAGGGTTGGTGGTTCGAGTCCTGGCCCACATGACTCCACATGCAGAGGTGTCCTTGGGAAAGACACTGAACCCCAAAGTTGATCCCAATGGCAAGCTAGTGCCCTGCTCTGCTGTCGTTGGTGTGTGAGTGTGTGTGAATGTATGAGAAACAGTGTAACGGGCTTTGTAGAACCGCTAAGGTTAAAAAAACGCTATATAAGTGCAGACCATTTACTATAACAATATGGTGCAGACAAAGCCTCTTAAGTTGTTGTTGTTAATGCATAGATTCTGGCCTAGGAAGATGTTTGCATCTGTTTTATAAGTGAAAATATCATACCTGAATGGATTATAGTGTAGAGTTGACGTGCAAGGTGTCATTTGTGAACAAGTCAGCACTTTTAAGTAAGCTTTGATAGCCGACTTGCATATAGGAGCCAACTGGGTTTTAGTTTTCCTGCAGTATAATGTTATTTTTGTTCATTCAAAGGTAAAGACTTCAAGACACAATTTCAGCCACAGTTAACCGAACACAGTCACTAGTGAAAATATCACAAGCTTTGTCCGATATTGGGGAAAAAATAACCGATGAGCTGTTTGGGAGTCAAAGGATTCGATTCTTAGTAGTGAGCTGAGTCAAATGATCTGACTCACTAAAGGATTATAACACGTTGCTGTTTAGATCGTTGCACGACAGCGATTGCTGTAATGAGAAGTTGTGGCCTAGACCTGCTGTTCGTCTTCAGCCAATAAGAATCTGAGTAACAAAGAAAAAAAATCTGCATGACCAT